TGTATATCAGTAGAAATCCTGGGTAAAGTTTTCTTTCTTTCTTTCTTTTTTTTTTTTTTTTTAGGGGAGCCAAAAAAAATAAATTTCTAGATTCTTAGGTTTTAGAGAATTTGGGTTCTAATGGGCCTGATCATGATGTGTATAGAAAGCACAGAAGCCTGTGGGAGCATAGAAGAGGGGCACAAAACTAATCAGAGTAAATCAAAATCTTTTTTTGATGATTGGCTATTTTATTCTTGGAAGCCTGGGTTCATTTTTACTTTATTTTTTGGGGTACTGGGGATTGAGCCCAGGTGTGCTTTACACACTGAGTTACATCCCCAGTCCTTTTTTTTTTTTTCTTTAAGAATTTAACCTTTATTTATTTGTTGTTGTTTACTTGTTTTTATGTGGTTCTGAGGATCGAACCTAGGGACTCACCTGTCCTAGGCCAGTGCTCTACCTCTGAGACACAACTCCAGCCCCATCCCCAGTCCTTTTAATTTTTTTTTCTTGAGACCTACTCTCACTAAGTTGCTTAGGACCTTTCTAAATTGCTGAGGCTGGCATTGAACTTATAATCCTCCTGTCTTAGCCTGCCAAGTCTCTGGGAATACAGGTAGTGCCACTGTACCTGGCTTCTGGTTCACTTTAAAATTTTTTTTTTAGACATTGATGGACTTTTATTTTATTAATTTATTTATATGCAGTGCTGATAATAGAACCCAAATGCCTCACACATGCTAGACAAGCACTGTACCACTCAACCACAACCCCAGCTCCCTAGTCACTTTTATATCTCACATTGAAAACAATATAAAACTTGAGGGGCTGGGGTTGTGGTTCAGTGGCAGAGTGCTTGCCTTGTACATGTGAGGCACTGGGTTTGATTCTTAGCACCACATTAAAATAAACAAATAAATAAAATAAAGATATTGTGTCCATGTATAACTAAAAAAATATTTTAAAAAAGACCAATATAAAACTTGAATTGCAGTGGTTTGGGTGAAATATTCTATCTTGCATTTAATTAAAATATTTAAATTTCAAACTTGGAGATTATTTTAATGTTTCTATGATCTTGAAACCAGTTTTCCCTCCCTTTAGAAAAGCTAAGTTCTAATTTACTGTTTCTATGAGGCCTAACCCAAACTGTATAGCAGGGGCAAGATTGAGGAGACCTGATCTGAGTTCTGATCTTAGAGTGGTGATTAGAGGTGGGTTTAGTTGGAAAAGATAGCATGTGCAAAGGAATGGATGCTGAAGAACATACTGAATTCAGGGAGCCTCAGTGTAGTTCATTATGGATAGAGTGTACACTGTTGGTTGGGATGTGGTGAAAAGCAAGAAATAAAGTTGAAATGGTAGGCAGATTATGAAGGACACACACACACACACACACACAGTTATATCACCAGCCCTTTATCTTGAGACCTAGTCTCATTAAGTTGTTTAGGGTTTTGCTAAGTTGCTGAGGCTGGCATTGAATTTGCAATCCTCCTGTCTCAACTATAGTGTGTGTGTGTGTGTGTGTGTGTGTGTGTGTGTATATATATATATATATATATGTATATATATATATATATATATATAATGTGTGTTTGAATAGAATTATAGAATTTATCTTTTAAGGGTCTCACCCTAACTCTCACTTGTGGACTGCTCAATTTCAAAATATACTGAGTAACTAAGATCCAGTGCTCATTTGTCCTATTCCCATCTTCCTCCAGTCAGATTAAATCAAAACGTTCCTTCTGGGTGTGATGGTGCATGCTTGTAATCCCAGCAATTTGGGGAGATTGAGATAGGAGGATGGACTCCCTGTTCCAAAATAAAACTTGAAAAGGGCTGAATGTAACTCAAGAAGTAGAGCATCCCTGGGTTCAATGCCCAGTACTGTGGTAATTAATAAATGAATACATATAAAACATTCCTTGAGTTAACACTGACTTCAATTTTTAAGATACATTATAAAGCATAGTTTAGCTATTGTTTCAGGCCTGAATTTGTTGATGGGCATGACCCATAGCCTTTATTTGTTTACATTTGGAAAAAGTTACTCAAAAGTTTTAACTGTTTCTCCTAGTAAAGTAGTTTTGTAGTTAAAAAAAAAAAAAAAATCAGTGACTCTAATCTGTCACTGTAGCCAGTCACAGTCTAAGGAGTCATTGGTCTTTTTGTCAGATGCCTATTAGGAGAAGCTTGTCAATTGAACCTTGTCTTGTATTAAAGAGTGTTCCTTAACTTCAATGCATACATTGATCACTTACATATACTCACCAAATCATAGCAGATAAACATGATGGCTATTTTTAATCCCCATTTCAGGAGGTTAGGGTTAGGGTGGTTAATTAAACAGTGGCAAATCATACAGTGGCAAATCACAGTGTAACTTCAGATATCTTGTGTGTACACTGAATTCATGATATTTTAGGAATATATTTGTGTTTCTTGTTGGAAAGCAATTTAGGGTCCCAGCTAGAGACCATGGATTTGTGATAATATTTTCTAATATGTTTAATGTAGTGTATTCTGTGAAGCAGATGGCATTGGGGGGATATTTTATATGCTTATTGGGATTAGGTGTCTGCTTTCTACTGAATAACTGATACTTTTTGCCTTTGAGTTGAACCTACCTGAAGAAGTCCATTTGGGATTATGTCTAGCAGTGGTTTGCATCCTTTTAGGAACAAACAAATAATTTTGCTAGCTAGATCTGGTTGCTGAAGTCTGGGTAGATTCTGCTTGGGAATGGTAACCAAATCTGCCCATTGCACTGATTTAGAAATGTGTGGTTTGTAGGTAGAATTATGTTGTTTTTTATAAAAATCAGAGATATTCTTAGCTGATTGTCTCAGGATGAGATGGTGGAAATGTGGACATCAGTTACCGAGTTCCATAATTAGAACATTTTGTGACTCTTGAAGAAATTTATTTTGGGTAAATATAGAGAGACCTTTCCTCAGGGAGTAGCAAACATCTTGAATCATCACATCAAATAGTTTTAAAGCTGAAAATATAAAAACAGGTTTTAAGGATTAGAGCAGTTACTTAAGGTGACATTATTAGGGTTCCATTCAGTGTCATGAATGGCTCAGTAGTTGCCCTTTTATGATGAACACTTTGTCCCCACAGTCACAGCATCAAATTGAATGGATCCCTAGGAATTAGTTAGCAGTAGCTCACCTATGTTGAGCTCTGTAAGTACTGTGCAAAGTCTTTTACATGCACTATCTCATTTAATCCTTTTAATACCCGTATGAGATAGCTGCTGTTGTCAATCCCAGTTTATAGGAAGGATAGGGTCAATCTGCCTTGGATCATATGGACGTGGGAGTGGAAGTCTCCAAAGAAAAATTAGGGTTTCATTAACAGAAGGAGGGAATGATTGCTAGGCAGATTAAAGCAATAGATGTCATTATTATCAATAATGAGCATTATTAGTATTTTTTTTTGTTTGTTTTTGAGTTACCTTCTCTTTATGATCAGTCTATTGCTTTGAGTTCAGAATGCTTCAGAAGGAACATTAAGCTTTGTCCTTTGTTGATATTTCTAATATAGATGTTTTATTTAGGGTTGGGGAGATAGCTCAGTTGGTAGGGTGCTTATCTTACATCCACAAGGGTTCAATCCCCAGCACCACAAAAAAATGAAAGAAAAAAAATTACTATGACATAGATGTTTTATTTAATGTCTGTAATCTGAGGCCCATAGTAGGCAGTGACTTGCCTCAGGTCATATAACTAAAAGTGGCTGGAGTTAATCTGTGGGGGGTGGTATCTGTCTTTCCCATTGTCCTTACATGCCTTCCCGTGATATCACTCTGTTTTTAGGTCAGTTATGGATTAGGAGAATGTGTATTCTTTGTTTTAATTCTGGCAGGATATTGAGTATTCAGTGAATGTGTAAATGATGAGTTAGTTATTTCCTCATTGCCAGGTGCTGTGTCCGAATGTTTATCCTTCCCAAACTTGAATACATAATTTGAAATTCTTTTTTTTAAAAAATTTTGGTTGTAGATGGACACAATGCCTTTATTTTATTTATTTATTTTTATGTGGTACTGAGGATTGAACCCAGTGTCTCACAAATGCTAGGAAGCACTCTACCACTGAGCTGCAACCCCAGTTCCCCTTTTTTTTTTTTTTTAAGTGCTGAGATTGAATTCGATCATGTGCTCTACTATTGAGGTACATCTCCAGTTCCTGAATAAATCAATAGATGATAGGCACCATATTTTCATTTTGTACTCCGCCAGCTTTTCAAATTATAAAGGCAGGACCTGGGACAGGGATCCTGCATGACGTCATTAACCCAATCTAGTTTATAGTATTTTGTTATAGCAGCCTGAGTGGACTAAGATACCTGGAATCTCTCCAGGGATCTTCAAATTTCCATTATTTGTATGTAGAGAGACTTTAAAATGGCTCTGAGATGAGCTTTCCCAGGCTTCTCAGCTGTTCTCAGCAGCTTTAGAACTTTGGAGTTTCACATTCAGTCTCCTTTTTCAGGCCTTCCATATGCTGTTCAGGCTGCCTCATTCTTTGCCACTCAGATATACCTCTAGCTTAAACAGTGCACTTACTATAGAAGAATTGCTTCCGTGTGTATATATGGGTCAAAATTTCAGCATCTGTGAAAATTTTAAATAAAATTATTTTGTTTGATATTTGTTAGAAGCTCTTATTTCTCTCTTTGGGAGAGAATTTTTTTTTTTTTTTTTTTAAGTAGAACATTACAGGTCTGAAATGAAGTGTAATTTTCCTATGTGTTTTTATTCTAACAGACATTGGCATGCTTACTCATAATTACTTGTGCTACTGCTTATTGAGCTCCTACTGTGTGATAAGTTGTGCTTAGCATTTTATATTGCTGTTTCCCTAATCCTCCTTGCAACTGTGTAGTAAGTGCTGTTTTCTCCATTCTGAATTTTCCCCCCACTTGGATAATAGTTCATATTTGAAGTTAGCTTACAATAATTCACGAATCATAATCTTTTTTTTCCTGTTCTTTCTCTTCAGGTTTCTGTCAGGATGAGTTGTCAGAGCTTGATCCAGGCACTAGTAAGTTCCAATTGTTACCCAATGTTTGTTGGTAAGGAAAGGATGTGTGTGTATGCTTTTAAGTGTATAACTTAATATGTCATTGATAAACCTTCTATAGTTTGATTCTCAATTTGTAATTATGGGAATGCCATTCTGTTTTTCTAATGATGACTTTTCTTTTCCATATATATATATATATTTTTTTTTTTTAAATATTTATTATTTATTTTAGGTGTAGTTGGACACAACACAATGCTTTCTATGAAATGAATAGATCCTGGCTATCCATATATTGTTTGATAGCTAGGATCTATTCATTTCATAGAAAGTTGGTTTGCTTCAAGTTTCTACTTAACACTAATCTCCTTGTTCTGTTCCTCATCCTCCTATGTCACTGGCAAAAACAACAAAAATTTATGCATTCTTATGTGCACATCTCAACCATATATCACAACTCAACTCTTTTCTAAAATATTGACTAGTTTTGACAGTTTATTTCAAAGAAAGATTATTTGTCATTTAAAAATTTATAATTGATAACTTTGTACCAGTTTAATTTGTAAAGCATTTGCATCTACATTCTTCAGGTTAAGGTTTAAGAGTTACCATTTCAAGATCTAATTAAATGATGATCAAAGATAATCATTTGTGTTTTTCATGCTACCAAAATGTACCACACAGTATTTTGGTAGTTCTGGGATATGGTATATAATTGTTAGAAATAAACACAAGCAAATCCACTGTGTATGGATATTTTGCTATATGAGAAAAGGTTAAATGATGATTTAGAGTAAGACTTCATGAGATTGTCTAGAGTTATTTCTGGTGCTAGAACTTTTTAAAGGTAATGGGGTCATTTGTCACCAGTCTGCTCTTAAGGTAAGTGATAAAGTGGACCTTATACCATCCTGGCTATACCAGCTCTGAGAGTATATGGACTTTTCGTATTTTCCCATGTACCTTTGTAGTATAAATATCCATGTTTGTTCAACTATTCTGAAACAAAATAAGTCCTGTGGTACGTATCAAACAACAGGAAACAAAATTTATCTTTTTGGAAGTCATAAAGTTCAGAATCCTTATTTTTTAAATTTTTTTGGTGAGGGGGCAGTACTGGGGATTGAACCTAGTGAACCTTCACACATGCTATGTAAGTATTTTACAACTGAGTTACATTCCAAGCCCCTTTAAATTTATTTTGAGATAGGATCTTGATAAGTTGCCTAGGCTGGCCTTGAATTTGTGTTCTTTCTGCCTCAGCCTGCCAAGAAGCTGGAAAATATAGGCATGTGTCATGGTGCCTAGCTCAGTATTTGTTCTGTAATAGGTCATATATCCCCAGTATACCAGTAACTGTGGGTAAATACATTACTTTCTTTCTGTCCTTCTTCTTTTGAATAGCCTTAATAGGAGGAGGAAAAGGTAAATTCAGTTATTTTCTTGAGTCGTTGTCCTTTCCTAGAATTTTTGAGTGCTAGGAAGGATGTTGAGATACTATGTAATATTTCAGAAAATCATATAAAACATACTAAATAAACTGAAAATTCATTTTATTAAACATTGTGTGTTCTCTTTGCTGCAGGCCCCATTCTAGGCTCAAGGGTTGTACAAATGATGAGCTCCTGCCCTCACCTTTTGACAGTCTTATGAAATATTTGAGAAGAGACTTTTCAAACCTTGAATTTAGGACATAGTACCCAAATTTATTTTCATTTTATGCACCTAAGAGCAACTGAAAGTAGCTCCTGCTATTTTCTGAGAAAAACCCTTGATCTCATAAAGATTATTGTTGAATTATTCTGCTTTCTGAGCCCAAGCATTTTTTTTTGGTTCATTTAACATTTCTGTTTACAATTCGCAGCTAAATATGCTGATTTATAGACCTCTCCATTCCATGAGAAAGATATAATTTTATATATCAATTTAGAATAAAAGTCACCAAAAGTATCACTTTAAAAAAGTACTTCGTGTATGTGGGTGGTATTCTCAGTAATTCTTAAGTTTATTTATTTATTTATTTATTTAGTTTTCGGCAGACACAACATCTTTGCTTGTATGTGGTGCTGAGGATCGAACCCGGGCCACACACATGCCAGGCGAGCGTGCTACCGCTTGAGCCACATCCCCAGCCCAATTCTTAAGTTTTTATCTTGGTGAAATTAGTATTTTTATTCTTTCTCTTTGAAGAAATACATAAAGATCTCATTAACAATAAATAGGCAAAAATAAAATTTTATTGTCTTGGGGTACAATTAGGCATGCATTTTTTACGGGGGTGGGGGTACCAGGGATTGAACCCAGATGTGCTTAACCTCTGAGCCACATCCCCAGCCCGTTTTAATATTTATTTTAATATTTTATTTAGAGACCGGGTCTCATTGAGTTGCTTAGGGCCTCGCTAAATTGCTCAGGTTGGCTTTGATCTCGTGATCCTCTTGCCTCAGCCTCCTGAGCTGTTAAGATTACAGGCACGCGCCACTGTGCCTAGCATGACATGCTTACCTTGTGAAGTTACAGGAAGCCTCAAAACTGAAATGGGCTGTGTATGTTGTATTAAATTGATTATGGTTTTAGATACTGCAAATTCTGTAGATTTGGACTGGAAAGGAATAACATTTGTTAATACCTCATGACTTTCGCACATTAGATTGAGAATAATAGGGATTTTTTTTTGTTGTTGTTGTATCTTTGGAATTTGGAGGCCTCATTTTCTACCCCCTTTCCAAATTCCTGGTAGGGAAGCCTGTTCACACTTGCCTATTTTGTAATAGGAAATATTTTTGCTGCTGATTTCCAGTTGTGCTTGGCAGTGGTTATACATGGAGATTTGGGATAACACGTTGTATGTGTTGAAACAAGTACTAACTTGGTCCAATTCAAGTGTGTGTGTAATTTTTTTTTTTTTAAACCTTTTCTGTAGTTGAGCAGATGGAAAGCTATGTTTGGAATATGGGCAGCTGTTCACACTCTGGCTGCTTTCCTACGATTCCTGGGCTTCCTGGAGTCCAATGTTATGGCACAGGTTCAGGCTAAGTTCATTTCTACAAGAAATGTCCCTATACCGTGTCCATTAGCATAAGCTAGGGACAAGGGCAGTCAAAGGTCAAGAGAAGTTCAAAACAGCATAACCTTTCTGTGCTTCTGTTTCCAAATAACCCCAGTCTGGCTTGCTCCCCCAGTTTTTTCCTCAGCCATCATGTTTACCGTGTAGTTGTAAAACTCAAGAGAACAAGGACTGACTTGATACAAGGGAAGTTAAAGAATAGAAGTCATTGTTACTTAAAACAGGAGAAATAATTGATTTATGTTTGGAGGCCAATTAAGCTATAAAACAGGAACAGTAAAGCGACCTGTGACTTCACAACAGCTCCTGTTCTGATTTCTGTTCCACAGACAAGGGGCTCCCCAATAAAGACTGTCAGCTTTTTAGGCTAAATTATTAATTCCTTTCATGCCTCCCTCAGGGATTGTAAACAGCACATAATACAGGGAAACAATTGGTACTGTTCACTTATTGGGCAGATAGAGGGTCAAAGGGTAAATAGTTGGATTAGCAACAGCTGTCTTTCCAGTCTCTAGTCAAATTTTTGTTTTATTATATATATCAGCAAAATTATTCCCTAATTTTTTTACTTGTGTGCAATGAAATCCATTTCTCTTGTTGCAATATCCTAAAATGATTACACAAAGAATAGACACTGGACAAAATTGAAAATTCTTATTTTAGTTCAGCTTCCAAAGTTAAAGATGAACATTCTTTTTGAAATGTGTTATGTTGTCTGATGTTCACAGGATACTATCCTCAGGAAAGCAACCACTTGAAGTTAGCTAGGATCCTTTTATCTGTTCTTTTGCCAACTGGTTGAGGACTTTAGTGCAGTTTAATTAAAGGAAAGAAATTGCCTTTGTAGAATAATATATGTTCTTTCTGGAAACACTAAAAGTAAAATGTAAGCATCCTTAATCCCACCACCTAGAGGTAACCAGTATTTCTCATCTGACAGTATGTCCTTCCAGTTTGTATCTGAGCTCATCTTTTTCATAATTAAGAATCATACTATAAATGCAGTTTTGTGTCCTGTTTGTTTTTCCACTTAGGAGACCATTGTCTGAAGTCTTGAAACATTTTTTTCACAAATATTTTTAATGGCAGGATAATTTTTCATTGAAACTGAATAGCTTTACCATGATGTACTTACCATTTTCCATTCTTGGGTATTTAAATTATTTCTCCTTTTTCGGATATTATATGTAATGTCACAGTGAACAGTTTGTTTCAGAGTTTTTCACCTGCATTTCAAATGAGTACTTTAGCTTTTTGTATAAGCAAAAACTTCGGAATTAGGATCATGAACTATGGCTCAAGATTGCTTGGATTCAATGTGGCTTTAATATTTATTAACTCTGCATTCTTGGTTATGTTATTTAATTTCTCTGTGTCTTGGTTTTTTTAATCTATAAAATGGGGACAGTAAAAGTTTATTTCTATTTTATTAGAGCTTTAGTATAGATTAAATGAAGTAATATATGTAAAGGGTTTGGAACAATTCTTGGCAAATGGTAAAGACTATTAAGCATATGCTATTCTAAGCTATGTAGTATAGTGTTGAAATTCTCAGTCTGTAGTAATGGGCTATTGTAACTGCATTTTATTCAGTTAAACTAGTCTGTATTCCAGTTATCGGCAGGTATAAATTACTGTTTCAAGTAAATAGTTCAGTCATAGGAACAGAGCCCATGCACTTTTAATCATTTTGGCGAAGGTTTTTCTTTAGTATCTGGTTAGTTGTTACAGGGTTTGGCTTCTAACTAGTGGCAGATAACCTTCCAAATGCCCATCTGCAAACCCATTTTATCTTTAGGAGATTAAAGAAGTTAACTCTCTACTTGGCTGGCTAGCTGGCTGGCTTATTTATTTATTCATCCATTCATTCTGGGGATTGAACTTAGGATGCTTTACCACTGAGCTACATCCTCAGCTCTTTTTTATTTTGAGACAGGGTCTTGCTAAGTTGCTG